ACTTTCACAAAAAGCTTCTCATTTCTAAATCGCGTTGATATTTTGAGTTTTTAAAAGAAATGAGCAATAATCTGGAACTATTAAGCTTTCAGAAAATGTACGGTGTATGGGGGTATTTGTTAAAAGCAAAAGCGCTAGCGCCGATCAACGCGGACGGTGCTTGAGGGTGGATGATACTGTAAGAAGGCAAAAGTCAATCTGACTGATGTAACATTCCAGGAAGTTTAAAAGCAATCACAGCTAACCTAGAAAAACGTCTTGAAGAAGTAAATGCAATGTTGTACGACCTTAAAGATGCAAAAATAAAACTGTTGAAACTTACGCTTGCGCACATACAAACATACAAAAACAAACAACTTGCACACACACCGATAACCTAAGCTATACCCAACCTACCGCTAAATGAGAGAAAAGCTATCACAGAGCTAAAATGAACAAACTAGATAAAACACAAGAGGGGCAGACCCTACTAGACGACGGAAACAACTACACTCCCCTGAAGACCCCATGGCAAGGGCAAAAAGTTAAAAAAAAATAGTCGAAGAACTACATCAGGGAAGTTTTATTGACGAAACAACTGTTAAATGGTTATCACAGACACCTAACCCACCCAGAATACCTGTCTTCTACACTCTCACAAAGATTCATAAGCCAACTCCTGTTGTAGTTACTAAGTACCAGAACCAGTATGAAAGTGGAATTTTAAGTTTGACGAAAAGGAACTTCAAATTTTTTTTGATTGGCTCAGTTTTGTGGGAAAAAGATGGAGTACGATGCCCTGATCAAATCTTCCAATACTTGGATAACTCTGGAACAGTTTTATCTAAACTCCACGAGGGAGATTGCGCCACCTGTCTTGCGGCTGATCCCTGCAACCACCCCTGTTATCATAACTGGTTTCTGGAAATTGGTCATCGTATGGGAATACTGAAAGATGAAGACATTTGTAATGACGGTAATGGCAAGGGAAAGGAATCGGAAATCCCACAAGAGTCAATCTTTCAGTACTCGCCTGCTGATCAGATAGATGACGCGTGTTACCCTCTTTTATATGGTAAGCACAAATCAAAATAATTGATAAGAAGAACGAAAAGATCCTCTGAACAAATATTAATCAGTATGTCAGGGGTCGTCTCACCCTTTGCGGATAGGATAAAACAAGTCTATATAGCGATGGACAGAACAAATTATAAAGAAAGGTACACACTAGCTTTCTTCTTACTAAACTACCGTACCAAAAGCTATAACGAAACAATTCATCATCACCATTCCAAAATTAGAGAGAAAACCAGTCCATCATCTCACTGGAAAGTATACATATTTTAAATTGAGCGGGTACTATGTGAAAATATGATCAATATATTTATTACCACAGATCATAAAAATACCAAGACACCTTTAAAGAATAGGAAAGTAGACTGCGATGACCCTCAGCCAACTTCTACTAGCGATGGAAATGGTACGTGAATATATTGTTCATTTCAGGGGGGAGCGACCTCTAACAACAAACTTAATCAAGATGGGAAAGAAAAAGTTGAAACGTCTCTTTTGAGGCAGAAAATAAATAATTGCAAGTCACTAGTATAATTCTACCATTTACAGTTCATATAACGCCAAATATTATTGCAGGAGTGTCAAGCAGAAATGTGGTAAAAAATTCTTCGCCTTTATTCATTATTTTTTGTAACTTGAACCACACTTGCCCATCCGTTAGGGAGGGATCGATCGTCGCGGGAAAATCTGTGCTTAAATGTGGAGGTGAGATAAGATAGCTATAGGCTCTAACAATTTGGTTTTCTACCGTCAAGCACAAGGGGAAGATAGGTAATGAGGGCGGAAGGTTTTCTTCGGGATCTATAAACTGCTAAGTAATTCATTGTTTCAGATCAAAAAGAGACAGAGACGTCGCCTTCCAGGAAAAGTAGAGTAGCTTTCGATGGAGGTCCTTCCCCAACTTCCAGCTGCAGTACAAATGGTAGGTTTACATAATATGATTTTAATATTTTGCTATCTGAAAGACAAACCACTGTACTTCAAACACGGAATAACTTAATGTCAATTTACCTTAAAGGCGATTAAGAAACGGTCCAAATAAGAACGATAGCAACAACGGCAACGAACATGTTGGAATGTAAAAAAGGTGCTAACTTTTCTATTTCTGTACTTTTTTGTTGTTGTTTTTTTTAAATATGTCTGTTTATTTCCTATAAAACTACGGCAAAATGAAACAACTCGGAGCTTGAAGTACAACAGTTACAGGTTAACGTGAGCTTTTTTAAAAAATTGTTCTATATATCAAGGCCACCAGCATTGTAAACGGAAAAGTAAAGTCAAATTGTTGGTGGTGGTCGTGTGACTCATGTGTTGGATGGCGTTATTTTATGTTGTCTGTAACACGAATTTCAAATAATTTCTGAGAAGCTCAAAACGATTTCCCCAAAATAATTTTAACATAACATAATAGTTTGATGCTTGTAGTGTTTTCCCCTTCAATCTTGAAAAATTCTGATCAAAGGCACATGATGAAAATCGTCGCTTTTTTCAACTACCTTCCGTGGTTGAACAACAGGTAGACACATGCTTTAGCTTTTTTATAATTACTCAGACTGTTGTAATGCTAAAAATATTATATAATTTGGTCAACGACGAGTTATGCTTACAATTTTAGCAACAAGCTTTTTTTCTAGCGCGGTTGTTTGAAATTCAAGTAGAGCGAATCACAGTGAATTTCAACACTGTTTTTGGCTTGCGAAATCGACGGCGGGGCTTGAAACGGTTTTCTTGTTTTTCTCGGAAACGAACAGATCTTTCGAAGAAAAAACTACATGGCGTTTGTACACTTACTTAAGTCTATCACTATACAAAAGAAGAGCGATTTTTATTTTTTGAGCCTTGCCGCACTTTGGTCGATATTTGAATGGAGTTGCTCATAAGTGGCTTGTCTTCTACATACCATTTACGGTAATTAATATAACAACTGAAGTGTTTCTGAACCCACAGCTGTAAGAACATAATAAAAACAAGACTATAGCATATGGACGAAAGTGAAAAAAGCATTCCTTAAAAAAATCTCATTGCATGATTCGTAAAGCGAGAAGTGATAAATGCACGCCTTTGGAGAACTTTCGTCGGTACTTACCTTATTTATTCGATGAACCGCCCTGGACGCGTATTATTTTTGGACCTTGAGAGTGGCCTCGTATTCGAGGCTGGGCGCTTATTAAATTTTCACCATTTTCAGCAATCGTAGTATGTTTATTTTGCAACAAAACAATAAATGCTAATAACAAAACGCGGAGAAGTAACAAAGCAAGGTTTCTGTAAAATACTCTGAAGAAAACTCCGTCCTCGGGGAAGTTTCTCATTAGAATTTATTCACTCAAGTGGGTGGGGTGGCGGTGAGCGCTTATATGAGTTTCATTGGGAGGAGGAGGGGGTGGGCGCTTATTAACTTTTTCTGCCTTTAGGACGAGCGCTTATTCGAGGTGGGCGCTAATTTGAGGTTGGGCGCTTATTTGAATAAATACGGAAATTTGGAAAATAGCGCGCGTAAGAAAAAGAAAAATTGCGCCATCATCACGTCATTTCCTTTTTTCCTTCTTTTAAACAGCTCCTGTCTTACAAGTTTCCCGTGAGGTCATCCGTGTGTCTGTAGTCTAATAGATCATGGGCAACGACCAATCACAGCGCGCTTAGCATCCAGTATATTCTATAAACTGTCGACCAAGCAGCGCGCCGCAAGAAAACACTTAGTTATTGTAAAAAGGCCCCTGTGACTTGTCGGGAAAGAAAGGCCGTACACAGCAAATAAACAGGTTTAATGTCCACAATCCTATCCACGAGTACATGCAAGAAGTAATAGAAAACTGAACAGAAACAAAATGAAAACATTCCGTATCTTTGTCAACCTCGAGGTTTTGACGAAAATAGTTAAAACGAGACCACAACAAAACACATCGTATAGCAGTCAGGAATTTTCTCAACGTTCTCAACAGGTGTCTGTTAAGTCGTACACTTTACAATAAAACACCCCATACTAAAGTCACTTGATGGTATTACTTTATGGCCGATTTAATAACTTCTAAAAATCCAAGACAACAAAGCCAGTTGATAAGTGTATCCCTTTAGGCCAGAATAGCTACTAAGAACGCGCATAATTGCATTATTGAATTGCTCTAAAAATTAGAGGACTACACCTGCAGAAATCTCGAAAGAGACACGAAGGCCCCATAATACCCCGCCAAGGGACAGAGTAATGAAGGGAATTAGACAGCCCCTTTGAGGTAACCTGTACACAGCCTGTACTCTGTTAGCTTTTGACTATGTTTATGATAGATTTTGCAAGTGTAAAATACTGTATGTACATGTAAAATATGTAATGAGAACGCGAGCGAATCGAGCGTGGAGCACTCACCCCTTGCGCTCGCGGTCAATAAATCCCGTGCGGCGCTCTGCGACCTCTAAAGAGAAATAGAGGGTGTGTGATCAGGCTATTTCGAGGAGGCCAAGCTAAGGGGAACCAGGGGGGACTTTGAAACTCAATAAGGTGGATGAAATTCAGGTTTACACTTCATTTTTAAGTTACTAGTACTTCACCTTCACCTCAGGCTCTCCACAGAGTGAGCGTGCTGCTGTTTCGTGACCTTTTCCCGACTCCCCCAAACGGACAGCTTGCTTACAAGCAATATGAAAGGGGAGGAATTTCACTGGTTGAAATAAAATGAAAGGGCAAAGAAATCTATATCTATCGTTTCGGACCTTAAAAAGGCCTTAAAGGACTTAGAGATGCATTTTATCGCTCTGAATACAGGTTGATTTCCACTGACGCGTTTTTGGCTACGCACGTTAACGCACGTAGATTTTAATCACGTAAATAATGTAAAGGCAAGATATAAAGCGCTGAGATTAAACGTGAGGTTGAGCGAGGTTCAACTTTTACGCTTAGGAGCGACTGTTCATGCATTGCCTCTATTTTATTTGCGAACGTAAATTTTACACAACTAAGGTTTCTCACCAGTGTGAACTCGTTTGTGAGTCCTTAAGTGGACTGTTTGGCTAAAACATTTGCCGCACTGTTTACATTCAAAAGGCTTTTCCCCAGTATGAACTCTCTTATGACGAGTTAAGTGTCCTGCTACACTGAAGCACTTGCCACACTCTTTACATTCGAAAGGCTTTTCCCCAGTGTGAACTCTTTCATGAGTCCTTAGGTTTCCTGCTTGACTAAAACACTTGCCACACTGTTTACATTCAAAAGGCTTTTCCCCAGAGTGAACCCTTTCATGATTCTTTAGTTCTCCTGCTGTGCTAAAGCACTTCCCACACTGTTTACATTCAAAAGGTTTTTCCCCAGTGTGAACTCTCTTATGACGACTTAAGTGTCCTGCTTGACTAAAACACTTGCCACACTGTTTACATTCAAAAGGCTTTTCCCCAGTGTGAAGTCTTTCATGAGTCCTTAGCTGTCTTGCTTGGCTAAAGCACTTGCCACACTGTTTACATTCAAAGGGTTTCTCACCACTGTGAACTCGATTATGACTACTTAGCTCTCCACCTGTGCTAAATCTCTTGCCACACTGTTTACATTCAAAAGGCTTGTCTCCAGTGTGAACTCTCTTGTGACAACTTAAGTGTCCTGCTTCTCTAAAGCACTTGCCACACTCTTTACATTCAAAAGGCTTTCTCCCAGTGTGAACTCTTTCATGACGCCTTAGTTCTCCTGCTGTGCTAAAGCACTTGTCACACTGTTTACATTTATAAGGTTTCTCACCACTGTGAACTCGATTATGAATCTTTAAGTGAACTGTTGGGCTAAAACATTTGCCACACTGCTTACATTCAAAAGGCTTTTCCCCAGTATGAACTCTCTTATGACGACTTAAGTGTCCTGCTTTACTAAAACACTTGCCACACTGTTTACATTCAAAAGGCTTTTCCCCAGTGTGAACTCTTTCATGACTCCTTAGGTTTCCTGCTTGACTAAAACGCTTGCCACACTGTTTACATTCGAAAGGCTTTTCTCCATTGTGGACTCTTTCATGAGTCCTTAGCTGTCTTGCTTGGCTAAAATACTTACCACACTGCTGGCACTCAAAGGACATTGGGCTTGTTCCTCTTTTAATGTGTTATGGTTAGGGTACCTTTTAACAGAAAGCACAAACATTATTAGGTAAATGTAACATTCTTTGTATTTTTTTGGGCAATACATTGAACAAACTTTGTGGCCGGCTAGTGAAAACAAGGTCTATAACAAATAGTTTAAAAGTTGAGAGGAATATTTGGAAAATAAATTAGAAATAATTATTATTGTAAAGAACAACCGCTGAAGAAAAAGGTGGTTTCTGACCATGCACCATCTGACTGCACACCTAAAAACAGGAGTCAGTTAATGTAACGTTGACTGTGTATTTAGATCAGACAGTCCCCTGTGTTTTGTAAAATAACACACACTTAGCAGGAAGAAGAATAGGACTAGTGTCACAGTTCTGACTTCCTGTTTGTACCAGGAAACAACCAACCAACCAGGAGATAGAATTAATTTTTTTAACAAATTGAAATGTACAGTTAAGTAGCAATGTTCACACACATAAAGTGGCATGTTGTGCAACTGTAGATCAAAAACAAATCTGAACTTCCAGCAAAACAAACGATACTGAGTGACTCCACATAAAGTATAATAGTCATGATCAATAAGTACAGACAATCACTCTTTAATTTAAAAAAGGGGGTGGGGCTGGAGAGGGTAGCATGATAACTTCCTCTAGTTATGGTATTTGGGCACCTCTAAAGAGGACAGAGAGTCTGGCTTGGTCATACCCCAACGCATGGGAAGAGAGACCACCTAGAAGACCTGGAGTGGGAATTCTGGATAGAGTAGCGGATGGCAGCCCTTATGTGGTCAAACGGCAGGCCTTAGCTTGAGAACTATAAGGAAGGATCTGCCTGTGGGCTGTGGAAAGGGGCCCAGCTGTAGTTAAATTTCTGCTATTCCAGCAACTAGAAAAGAACCTGGTTAATAAGGACTCCAAAGAAACGACATAGGTTTCTGTATAATTACGGGGTGTGTATTACGCAGGCTCCCATCATAATAAACAGTGAAACCCGTATTTAGCAGAACACCCTATACTAGCAGGATCATTATGACAATTACTGCACTTCAGATCTGAGGCACCTCTTAAACTATTGTACACTAACTACTAATAACCATATAACATATACATTGTACACAAACTGATTATCTCTTTATGGTAACTGCATGCATATGTCAGGGACAATTTTTTTTCACAGACTGGAGGACAGAGAGAGAGAGCAGCAACTGCCAGGCCACTTGCATTGGTGAGACCAGTAGTAGGAAATGGTGATTCCAACAACCACATTGCTTAACATCATTTACAAATGAACAATCAACATGCAATACAGATTATTTTATAGACTACTTATTGTCACTTTGGAAAAGTGAACTTATTGATCAACTCGAACAAACCGACAACGATAAAATGACTGAAAAACCAACTAAAATTTTTGACTAAGGGCCTGTTTACATGGAAGTGGTTGGCGAGGTAACCCGCTTAGGTGGGGTAATCCCCCAGGTCATATAATCGTTCATTTTAATTTGATCATGTTTACATGATATGTGGGGTGACCCACCAAGGCTGATATCCCAGTCTGCCAGGGTAACCCTCTCACCTGGGGTCAAATTTTGCCATGTAAATATTTCAAGGTGGGTTAACCCACCTAGTTGGGGTTGGATTCATGACACGTCTCATTCACGCAAAATTCAGTTTGGCAGTGGATTTGCATCATTAAGAAAGGTAACAATAAAAAGCCACAGCAATGAAGGTTGCAGCAAGAGCAGCAAGTGAGAGTAGAAGAGCATTAATCGCCAAAACACGTGGTTTGCCAGCATTATTCTTGACCTTTCAATAATCTTGAGAAAGCGCACCCCAGGATGTAACAGGTTGTAAGATTGCATATAAAGGAGAGTTAGTTTGTTACCCCACCTATGCAGGTTACCTCACCTACCTGGGGTCCCCAACCCCATGTAAACAGGCCCTAACAATACATGTACAGTTGTATACTAAAAAGACTTTACAACTGCGATCAAAGATAGAATGAAATACCCTTGTCCCATTAAGTCTTCGTACCCACTAACATCATGGCTTAACTGACAACTGACAAATATCATCTTAATCAAAATGATTAATGGGGTCAATAACCACAATTTGATTAGGTTCAGTAATATTATTGAACATAATCAAACTCACCCAAAACTGATGAACTGACTGTTCATCACAAAAGTTTTAGCGTGGGCATATATGGATTAACTTATTTTGACTCGCATGTACGGAATCAGCAATGAAGTTTTGTAAAGCACATAGAGTTGTTTGACAATTTATTGAAGTCAACATGATTTTGATGGATCAAACAAAGTTTCATAGTTAAATTATATCAAAGATTACATGTTAGTTTATAGCTCTTTTAACAATGGAGATCCTCACTACCTAATTTCAGGGAAGTGAGAGTTTTGCAAAATGCTTTAACTGGTAGACTGTTTTAATCTTGCCACTCCATTTTTATCAACATTTGGTGACAGTTTTGTCATCTTGGCTATATCATCTACACTGTTTTGTCAAATATACGGGTTACAGTATAGCTCAAAAGAAAGTTAGAAGCCTCTCGGGAGATGCGAATTGTGTCACGGGCTACGCGACTCTCTTCACAAGCTATGTGATTCCTCAGTGGTGGATCCAGGGTAGTGGCCCAGGTGGCCTGGACCCCCCACCCTTATTTTTAGACAAAACTGAGGCCCGAAGGGCCGCGAAACATTTTTTCGAGACCAGGCCCCCCCGTTATCTCAAAGCCTGGATCCGCCACTGTTCCTGTATTCCGCTATGCGATTCACATGGCGCACCATGGCATAAAAACTGTAAGTATCATGGCCAAAGTTCTTGAGCAATTCCAAGAATCAGTGGTAAAGCTTGGCCAGGACTAACACGTGTACAAATTTTTACCTATGCATCCTGTAGACTGTTGCGTATAATTTACTTTTTGGAGGATTGGTATTTACGTATCTGTGCAAAACATGCTTTTAAAAAAGTCATTTTAAAACCACTACACCACCTTGAAAACTAAATTTTTTTACTAAAAACTTTGAGATGATACAAAATTTAGCTTCACTTGTAACTGCCTGCAGGTTTTGTTTAACTCTTCAAGCTGAAATGAATTTTAGACTGATTGGCAACGCTTCCAAAAGCGGTGTCATAGAGTTTGAGTTCTTTTAGACAAATGGATGTTCCAGCGAACTCTACTGGAAGAAATCTATATAGGATATTTGAAAACCTTATAGTTCATTAAGCTGTTTTTAAAGTTTAAGCCAGTAAGTTTTTCGAAGCACTGAAAACTGAATCTTTTCATAACGTGTAGTATGCAAAAACAGTACATTAAGGAGTAGGTTTTTTAAAAATTACACGTTTTGACCCTGTGCAAATTTGTGTTTTGCTGTCACACAAAGAAGGCTATTCAGCGAATGCACTGTTGTCTTATCTGGCCACTGTTATTTGTTAAATTCAAGACAATTTTCTTTCAAAAATCAAGCAGAAAGTGGTGTTAAAAGCTATAAAGAACAAATTAAGCTAACATTATTTCACGATTGTAAGCCAAGTTGAATTTTTAATAAAGATGCTGTTGATATCTCGTCAGGGACCGGCCATAAAGTTCCGGGGGGGGGTGGGCTATAAAAATTGTTTTTTAAGTACTGCTTTTCAGTGGCCCACCCCCGAGTTATTTGACAAAATTGGGGTGGCCCACCCCTGGAGTGGCACAGAAAAAAATTGTGACCCACCTCCCAACCGAAACCAGTAACGCTGATATGGATAGGTACATTAGGGATCATTGGCTTACCACTTTAAGGCGATTCAGAAGAGGAACCCTTAAAGCCTACTGACCGCCAAGCAATTTAATCACAAGATTAAAAAACTTCAGGATTTGAAAGAGAAATCTGAGAAGCTGAAGAGTAGTATCCAGAAAGAGAATGCCCAGCGGTTCACTAAAAAGTCAGGGAAAATCATCAGTGGGCAAGAGTGTGGGCAACGCTTCAATGAAAAATGCTTGGGAATGATTGCAGAATTGCAAAGTAACATTGACCAGACTTTGATGAGGGCAGAGGCCCAAAAAGAAAAACACAAGAGAATGTATCCTTTTGCAAAAGAAACATTCGTCTTGAAAAAGAGAAGAGTGATAGAAAATAAAGCAAAAGCTAGGAAGCGACGCTGTGGCAGAGCAGAGAAAAATTGTGAGAGAGTGTTCTCCGCAATCAGTCACTCATCATCTCAACCTCTGATCATTGTAGTGTGATAGGCCTTATCAGTTTACAAAAGAGAGATGGTAGGTGGTTAAAACTATTAATAAGTAAAGGTAAATTTACAGTGGATGCTATTGAAACAATTTGAGCAAACGTGTCACCAGTTGTATTGAGTGCTATAGATGATAGTGATGATGATGATGATGATAATGACAAGGAGGATGGTAATGCTCCTGAGGGGGATGGTAATGGTGAAGATGACTAAAGATGATTAGAAGAAGGTATTAAAAAAGATGTTAACATAAGTTAGGTTTATGAACACACAGTAGGGCTTTGTTCTAGATTTTATACTATAAAACGTTTCTCGTGTGACTACTCTTCAGATTTAAAGATTGTTTATAAATAGAAACAAAATATTTAACATGTGAATTCCTGTTGTCACATAAAGTTGGATTAATGTGGAAAATTAGATTTATCGTTAAAAAAGATTTTACTAACGTTTGTAGTGATATGTGAATAATTTAACATGACCCACTCCTAATGCAGTGCTTTATTTTTCCTGACCCACCCTTTTTAACGTGTTAAAAAATAGTGACCCACCGCCAACTTTTCATAGCCCAACCCCCCCCTGTACTTTATGACTGGTCCCTCAGCGAAAGTTGCCACAATGTGTGAACTACAACTACACACATCACAAGAGCTTGATTTTTTTGTTGAGAGACTCATTGCTAGCAATTTGCAGTATATTTGATTCTTTTCACGCTGGTTTGTTAATTCCAAAAAATCACAGAAACTAGAAGCGGCTTTCAACCAAACATCATGATCATATGTAGAGTGGAATGTCAATTGTTAACAAATCAGAAAAGTCAGACACTCCAATCAAGGTGGCCCAAACCTATTAATATGCATATTGGCTATGTTTTTGATTTGCATTTTTTAGAATGAAAGATTCAAACGATTTCTATGATTTCTGGCGTACCAAATAAATATTGATGGAACTTTGAGAAAATGTTATTTGTTTTCTTGTAGATATAGGGTGTGTTCCTTTCGGCGAATCCAAAAACGGATTTTTGATCCTAGATTTGCCAGATTTCGCGGTCGAAAGGAACGCGAAATCCGAAATTGGATTTGTAACCTTGGTAACCTTTCGCCAAAGCGTGCAGTATGCACGACATCCTCCCAAAAAATGACGTGTTTTCTACTGTTTGACAAATTATGCGATTATACCGTGCAGAATTTAGTGGTCGGCAGTTCGAATAGCGACGATGGAACATATAAAACAGACAAAGAAAGAAGCGCATTAAAATTGAAAATTATCTAAAGAATGTCGGCCAGTTTGATCCAGTTCCATAGCTCGGATTTTTTTATGTAGCACGATCGAGTGCCTGTCGCGTCTACAAGCGAGTTTGTAATTAGATAGCAGTTCATTTGTTACTTTTACTTATTTCTGATTTCAAGCCATCTTTAGAGACAAGTGGTTAGTATATGGATATTTTAATGTACCTGGAACAATCTTCTAGTGTTTTCAGATGTTTTGCGGCAAATGACAGCAACGAGGAAACTCTACGACCTCTATGGGAATACCTCAACTGGAAATACCGCTGGATCATCTGACTAATTTCGGATCCACTGTGAATGGAACAGCGTAGATCACTAATCCGTTAATCTGGATTTGGATTCTTCGGATTTCAAATCCAATGAATCCTTTTTCAAAAAGGATTCACCAGATCAAAAATCCGGATTTGGATTTGTCGAAAGGAACGCGAAATCCGTTCTTAGATCTAAAATCCGTTTTTGGATTCACCGAAAGGAACGCACCCATAGAAACCTTTGAGATATCGGCATATATTTAAATCCTCATTTTTACTAAATATGTAAATAACTTCAAAATCCCACGACAGAGTTTTCCCTAACTTCAGCACATAAGCCTCAGAGCTCTCTAGTTTTAGACCTGCAAGTTTGAAGGCAATCGTGACTGTAGAAGTCGCTGCACAAAATGCTGGTCAAATTAAACCTTAAAATACTATGCTAACACATCGTTGTGAAAGTTGACGCATGAATAGAGGTAGAGTGCCGACAGACTATATTTCCTATATATCTCCTACGACCAGAATCCTTCAGGGTTTTGCTTTCTTGTGCAAATTAGGGCTTTTGTTTTTCGAAACATCACTGGGATTACCAAATTAGAATATCAAAGGAAAAACAATCAAAGAAAGACTATCGTCAACTCGTGGGTACGTTGTTTAGAAAAATTATTGATCAATTAGTTATCACCTCTGGTTTTCCCACAGTGAATTTTAGGAAATGATAGAAATTCAGATTATAAATATACTATCCTTGTTCTGGAAACAATACTTTTCTTGCTGCTTATTGCACTTTAGTAACAGTTGTTTGAGTATATATTTAAAGACAAACAAGCAAACAAAAAACAGCAAAACAAATAAGCAAACAAGGCAAAACAGATGAGATGAGAGGGAGATGAGTTTTAATGTCAAAGGCCCCGGTGCCGTTATACTACTTTTTCGTGTGGAATACAAAACGAGTGTTGTATTTTATAATGTATATACTCAAAAAGTAAAAATTGCAAGGAGAGACAAGCGGCACATCTTAGCTTCAAACCGGTGTGAAACCTTTGAAAACCTTCTACATATTGATATTGCTCCATTGAGGAGTACTCTTTCAGGGATTCTACACTCGAAAAATTGAACGATGATTTTTATCGGTATCAGGGGCCCATGACTCTGTCAGTATAAATATACATAGCTTCTTTGTACCGGACCAAGATACGGCTCGGTACAGTATATGTTCAGCACAGGAAAAAAGTGTAAGTTGAACAGAACCTTATACAACACACAGTTGATTCAGTTCGCGCGTATATTCCTGCTGAATTTGTTGTCCGTTTTATAAGATATCAATATCGCATGAAAGTAATGACATCATTTCCATAGCTGCTTAGTATCTACTTTTAATATCTCCGTACAGTCTCAGAGTACAATGTTTAGAGTTGTACACAGCATGCATTTTAGATAGATAGATAGATAGATAGATAGATAGATAGATAGATAGATAGATAGATAGATGATAGATAGATAGATAGATAGATAGATAGATAGATAGATAGATAGATAGATAGATAGATAGATAGATAGATAGATAGATAGATAGATAGATAGATAGATATAGGCAGACAGACAGACAGAAACACAGATAGGTAGGTAGGTAGATAGATAGATAGATAGATAGATAGACAGACAGACAGACAGATTGATTGATTCACTTTTATTTGAATACGGTAATTTCATAAGTTACATAACTTCTTTACATGAAAGCCGTATAGAAACAGAAGTAAATACTGTACAACTACACTAAAAATATGTACAAATAATAAAATATAGTAAAATGTAGTCAACAGTTTGCCTGCCTACTAGCCAGTTTTCTTTTAAAGATAGCTTTAGATTCGGACGCTTTTATGTCATTTGGTAAAGAATTCCACAACATTCCTCCTCTTTATGAGAAAGACCCCTTATAATATTCTGTTTTTGGAAGGTGGTCCAGTACAACATTATATTCCGCATTTCTTAGCATAGACTTATAAGGGTTGTTCTCACAGACATTCGAGAAAAGATCGCTTAAGTAACTAGGTATATTTCCATTCACTGTATCATACATTAATAGACTTAAGTGCCTTTGACGCCTCGAGGCAAGCTCTTCCCAGTTTAGTTGTTTTCGTATTTGTGCTGAACGAACATCATAACCTTGGAAGGTTATTATGCGTGCAGCACGATTTTGTAATTTCTGGATCCTAGTGGCAAGTCCCTGGTCTAAATTGTCCCAAACAACGTCGCAGTAGTCGAACACAGGCTGGATAAGAGATTTGTAAATAGTATTTAGAACATCTAATGGTACATAATCACGTGCCTGTTTTAGACCACTGATGGATCGATTGACTTTTGAACAAAGTTTGTCAACATGCTCGTTCCATTTAAGATTTTCATCTAAGTGAATTCCTAAATATTTTGTTGTTTGGACTCGTTTAACATGATTGTTGCCAATCTTAATTAGAAAGTCTCTTCCTAAGTTAGATAATTTGAAGGTAGTTGTTAAGAACATATACTCCGTTTTAGTGACATTTAAGCTTAACTTATTTGCAAGAAGCCAGTCCCTAACGCGAGTTAGGTCATTATTGACCTTGGCATATAGTTCAGCAGTGGATACAGAGGACGCATATATCGTGGTATCATCGGCATACATGTGTGCTTTGGTATGGAGAAGACATCCAGGGAGATCATTGATATAAATCAAAAACAACAAAGGGCCTAAAACTGAACCCTGTGGAACACCACAACTTATCAACTGGGGCTTAGATACACAGCCCTCTACTACACACTGCTGTTGCCTATTTGATAGGTACGATGAAAACCAGTCGAGTGTTACACCCTTCAGACCATAGAGCTCAAGCTTTTTTAATAAAATATTATGTGAAACGGTGTCAAAGGCTTTGGCAAGATCGAGAAGCACAATCAAATTGGTCATGCCTTTGTCAATGTTAAGATACCAATTATTTGTTAAATGTAACAGTGCTGTCACTGTAGAGTGAAGGGAACGAAATCCAGACTGGTTCTTTGTCAACAGGCCATTTGAATTTAAGTACCTGTATAGTTGATCGTAGACTACCCTTTCACAAATCTTAGAAATGGCTGGCAAGACAGATATTGGTCTATAGTTTTGTGCATCTGTGCGATCATCCTTTTTATACAAAGGAAATACTTTAGCCATTTTCCACTGTGAAGGAAAGAGGCCAGTATCTATGGTTTTGTTTATGATACAGGTTAAAGAAGTGGCAATAATTGGGCCAGCTTCTTTTAGAAGCCGACATGAGATGTTATCAAGGCCAGTGGCCTTGTTCGGAGATAATTTACCTAATAACTTTAAAACTTCAGTGGCAGAGGTATGTTGTAAATTAAAAGTCGTGGAAACAGGCTTTATGTAAGAGTCAAAACTTGTATTTCCACTAGGCAGTGTGGAGGCTAGGTTTGGACCGACAGATGTAAAATGGTCATTTAAAATCTCACACATTTCTGCGGGTTTTGTGAAGGAGTTATCACCACTTTTTAGTTCACTTATTGAAGAGTTACTAGTGCACTTACGATATGTTAATTCATTGATTGTCCTCCATATTTCCTTCGGGTTACCCACATTTTGTTCCACTTCTGATTTATAATAATTCGTTTTTGCCATTTTAATCTCATTATTTATTCTATTTCTTTCTTTTCTATATTTATCCCAGATAGATGGCTGTTTTGTTAATATAGCCTGCCTTTTCAGTCTGTTTCGAGCTGTTATCAGCTCCCTCAGATCAGTAGTAATCCAAGGGGATTTTTTATTTCTTACTCGCCGCGTTCTTATGGGCGCATGAGCGTCAGCTATTTTTAAAAACATATTTTCCCAGATTTCAACCATTTCATCGGGAGTAGACAGATAGATAGATAGATAGATAGATAGATAGATGGATGGATGGATGGATGGATGGATGGATGGATGGATGGATGGATGGATGGATGGATGGATGGATGGATGGATGGATGGATGGATGGATGGATGGATGGATGGATGGATGGATAGATAGATAGATAGATAGATAGGTGGGTGGGTAGATAAGAACCTTAGTTTACGGCACGATAAAAAAATCAGCATTGCTGGCGGGGTCGTGCATACAACAACAAGAATCGCCGAAAGGCAATTTTTAACTGGGCTGCAAAGGGGCTATTTTTTCTGAAGGGAGGGGGCGGCTATACACACTCAGGCTACCATAAAACCTTGTCGGCAACCATTGCCTGCGACAGAAACTCATGTGAGACTGAAACATAAACTCACTCAGAACATTGTACCCTTTTGAAAGACTTTCGTAACCAAAAAAAGAGTACCATTTTTAAGTGGGGGCTCTATAATGACTTTTAAATTCCACCATTATGAATAAAAATAAACAAGTCAGCCATTAATTCTAAGCAGGAAACAAGTTGCATTATTTCCACGCACCCCTCCCCCAATCCCTCGGTGCCCCAAAATATAGCGTGACAGTATAACGTTACTAATTTGACGTAACTGGAAATTCCAAAAATTGTTGTCGTTCTACGAGCATAAAATGCGACAGACTGAGCTGATTTACACTAGACAGAAATATTGTATTGTATGAAAACCAAAAGTATACTAAAACAGACAGTTAAATGCCCATTGATCTCGCCTGATCCAGGGGCCTCACTGACTGCACGGAGACTTTACTGCGCTTTTCACAAACATGCGAACTCTAAAGTTCAAAAGCCACCTTCACAATTGTGTTTATCGCTGCCGTCAATCATAATAGGGAACTTAAGATAGAGACGTTTCCGGGGCGACGGCAACTTCAACCGGACGTGACATCATCATTTGTTGGCTATTGCGCATGCTCCTGCTCACCACCTTGCCGTCGTGGTCCCGTCGGCGACGTGAAACTGGTCTGTTTGGCGTTGTGGCGAAAACGTGAGTATTTAACTTTCATTTCAATCAGGTTTTGTTGCGTTTAGCAACCAACATTTTGCAGATTATCGTTCTTAAATTGTCCTTGTTTTCTTTGAGGCACATTTCAAGCTCGATTTCCAAGCTCTATTATCTAAACTTACATCTTTGAATGTTTCTATGTTTTCATGTCACAGGGTTAAGATCCAACTTGGCAAACAGCCAACCGTAAGTGAGCTTGACATGGACAAAATTTTCTTACGAGCCAAATAAAAGTATTCAGACAAAAAATATGAACTCCGATATTTCAATTGTGTGTTTTTAGTTCGCTCTTTTTGTTAGAATATCGTGTAAATGAAACGCATTGAAAATTATATAGAATAGTAGGTAATACCATGTACTGACAACTTAAGTTGTTGCCGTTGTTGTTGTTGTTGCATGCAACTATTTCCCGGGAATTATTTCAATACCAAACTAAGAATACGGTTCCTTGGTAGCATTTTAATGTTCCTGTAATTTGCAAGGCTTCGGCAAGCCTGTGGAGATAATTTTTTTTTTCAACACGAAATTCTGCCTTGAACTCAGCTGCATCCCGCATGTTTTTTCGCGTGAACGGATCGTAACTGTCCCGGGGAAAATCGGGATTTTTGGACTCATAATTTTCCCACAAAACGAGAAACTCTTCATCTAATACATGTTGTGTGCATAGCAAATATTTATTCTCTTAATTCTTTATGAGAAGCCATATTTTCCTCTTCGGTATTCTTCTAATTAAAGGCGCCGTCCTTCTGAGTTCACTGCGATCTTAATGTTCTATTTTTGACGGGAAGCGACGGCTGCCTTAGTTCCAGGCTTTCTCTGCCAGTCCAGTCGCCGTCGCCCCGAAAACGTCTCCATCTTAAGTTCCCTAATTACGATCACAAGCAACGAACCTTGAAACAGAGAAACACACAAAACGGATCGAAATCCACAAATCACCAACCATGACCTTTTGAACCTGTGAAGTAAAGTTTTGTTTCCTAAGAGGTCCGTTAAGATGATTGACACCAGCGAAAAACGCAATCGTCGGTTGGCTTCTGAACTTCAGAATTCGCATGTTTGTGAAAAGTTTGATCCTACTTTGCGGTCCACCGTAGTCCACAGTCTACAAGAAAACGCACTATTTTTTCCACAAGATGAAAAATATTCAGTTTTAAGATTTTCTTCATGGTATTTTTCTCTAACTTAAAGGAATAAAATCCTTTGCATTTTGAGACCTAAAAAAGTTTAAAGATTTCTCGCTCGCATGTTGCGTTCACCAGCACGCACTTCAAACAATGTAAATAGATGAAACGATTGATAACATATTTTTTACCTGATACCGATGTGAGTTAAAAATTCGCTCCAGTTCTGTTTGTCTCACCCAAGACGAACTTTTCTTCATGGAAGATAACTATGCGTTAAAACTCGTCCGAAGTTTTTGTGCCAGCTAAACAATATGGTGACTCCTTGGATATTAAAAAGACTGAACGTGACGCACTATTATGCCTTTCTTTACTTCTGATCACATCTTCAAGCGAAGTCTCTCTTTTCAAGCGATTCATCTTAATGCACAATGATTGACCCTTATATTAGTTAAAACCCTATGGTTCATTTACATTAATGCTGTTTTTGCCCCTCACATTGACTGTGTTCGTTCGTATTCAAAACACCTTTACGAAAATAAGGGTCGCATAAGTCATGTGTGTTATGTTTCGAGGTAAATGGATTATACGCTTTTTTAAGTTTCCATTTTACCGTGACTTCAGTTTACATCTCCATAAAATGGTAAAAGAAATATCAAGAAACATCACGGCATGTGTCTGAAACTCGCTAATTCGACGCTAATGCTGACATCAATATAGCGTGCTTGCTGAATGGGCGAAAACACAGAATTGTGATCACAAGATCATGTACAAATTTAATGATAAAAGCTTAGCAAGATACAAATACAAACAAAAGCAAACCCCCTGAAAATTCGACGTGGGCTACACCACAGGTAGCCCAAGCTCACTATGAGAGCCGTGAACAACATTATCCTACTTAGCTAATTAATTATTCATACAGCAAGAAAATTATAAGACGTTGTATGGAGAAATATTCTTTGCTCACTAAATTAGCAAAATGTACATTGAATATCGCTTTGAAGCTTACCTTTAGCGTCTTCTTGTTTTTCTTTGTAATCTGACTGCATTTCAGACCCCCTAGGCACTGTTTAAGGCCTTTTTCGGAGCGACAGTTTTTCACCCAGATGACAGTAGAGAGAAGAGAAGAGAAGGTTGGCAAACCTCTCTTGACCGGCTCCGCTCTCGGGGGCGATAAATTCCGTAACATTTGCGACATGGAGACGATTCCGCCAGAAACAGATGTTCTGATAAATAACGCACATTTTCCATTATTCACATCGCCAAAATTCCCATTTCCAAGGTCCTAAATCGCCAAAGAAGTGGGCAATACACGACTGAGGTGAGGCGAGTCGAGAGCAGACCCGCAACGGACTCCAACCGTCACGTCGACAATTCAAACCGTCGCGGGCTGGCAGGGTCAAATTGTAATAATGTAATATATATATAATGTAATATAAAAATGTAATATCAAAACATGTCGCGTTGTTAATGTTTTGATCTCTACTCTTCTTTTTAAAAAGCGTTTGACAATGGTTTTTTATGTATGATTTAGAAAAAAAATTTGCAATAAGAATTACTACGGCTGTAAACAGTTGTTAGCTATTTTTCCTCCCTTTTTCAGTAGGTAGCAAGTTTGGGGACAGGATCTTCCGGCAGGTGCTCTTATCTATTGTGAGTGTTTTTACGGAAAGGAAATATGTAAATAAATATTTATTTGAATTTGCTCTTGGTAATTCTGCCACATTAGCTACACCAATTTTAAGATTAAATTATACATCAGCTGCCTACAGCCCAAGCAAACTATTTCTGAAATATGAATTCCAAATGTAGTAGCTATTTTTGTACTGATTGGATTTCTTGACGCTACTATCAATCATGGCAGAAAACATTAACATTAACAACGCGACATGTTTTGATATTACATGTCACTATCACACGCGATGCTTGACTTCCGCGACCCCGG